GGTCACACAGCTCCGCCCTGTTAATTTCCTCAACAGGACCAAAGGTCGAAAAGCTCATCCTAAAACAGACTTTGGCATTTAAGGAGCCCATGCATTAAGGCTGCATGTATCCAATCAAAGAAGTGAATTGTTAAATTGTGGGCAATCCTGGTCCCGAGGGCCACAGCCCTGCAGGTGACACAGGCCTCTGGTTACCTTTCCATGTGGCAGATCTAGAAGTGTCAAACCAGACAAAGGCCAGTCCATAGTTAGCAGGGCTCTGGGAAGCTTGGCACTCAAATGAGCCACAACTGCCTGAAATAGATATAAACTGATTCACATTACTCTATTCACGGCAGCCTGATTTCTTTCAATGACATGGCCACTTTACCTTAGTTCCCAGTAGCGAATGTGGCTTCTAGTGTGTAGAAGAGCCCTCTCCTCTTTCCTCTCATCTTGGCTTTGCACAAGCTTCAGTGCAAGTAAATACTCAACTCACTGCCTTATAGCAGTTAATGTGCTGGCCCCCAAAATAACATTTTACAGTCAGTTATGGGCTAAATACTGTACCACACACCTTCGTAGCTAGAACAGAATTTGATCTCTGATGAAAGCTTCACGGCTCAGGGTGTAACAGAACAATGTAAAAAAATTACAACAGATCATCGGTATTCAAACTTTTTTTTTTTTACAATACACTTTTGTGTCCCTTCAAACTGGCTTGATCAGTTTAACTATGTTGGATATGTTGGATTATGCTTCATCAGACACCTTCTCTGACTCTGCTTTGGGATCAATGTGCAGTAGTGGTCAAGACCCTGGGCTCCAGACTGGGGGGTCATGGGTTCAAATCCCATGTGGTACGCTGTTGCTGTGCCCTTGAGCAAGGCACTTCTTTCTAATTGCTCCAAACTGAACAAATGGGTCACCAGGCCATCACTGTAAATGAGTATTTGTTCTCAACTGACATATCTGGTGAAATAAAGAAAAATGGTAAGCCCTCTTTATTTGTAAAGGCAAATCCTGACACTGATTAATGTACATTTCTGTGTCTCTCTGCCAACACACACACCGCAGAAATCAAGCACAGACAGATCGACAGATAAAACAGAACTCCAGCAATTAGATCAAATTAAAGACGACTGCAAATTTTCAAAACCGTTTACAGTGGTAAATGTGTGTTTGCAGATGTTGCACTGCAACAAGTGTCAAAACCCACAATTGCGGGTGTTAGACATAACCACATGGATAATTTTATTAAAAAAGAATGAAGGTACAAGCCTCTAATCTAGAAACACTTCACTGCCATACCGTAATTCTATGCACAAGTCACAAAGGGTACAGGTCTAGTCTGAGTCCTGCTCTTCCCCGTTGTGGGAGATTTTAGACGCTGTCCGGGCATGAGCATAGAGATCACCGCGCCACATGG